AACAGAGAGCTAACAGTCATTCTGGCTCCCTCTTATGGCCGATTGAGGAAGACAGCAACCAATCACATTTTACAGTATGATTTAAAGAAACAGGTATAGCATTGTTACATGATTTATATATTGCCAACCCAACCGTTCGATTATATTCCTAACACGTATATATCTGAATACAAAAAAAGGGGGGGAAACCCACATATTACAGGCGCACAGGGATGACAAACATTGTTTGACAAACAATTGTTGCACCAAAATGTCTTGTGCACACATGCGCTTATCGGGGCTGTGCTCCAGAAAAGCTGCATTTTCGGATTCTAGCATGTATGCGTGGCCAACAATCAGCTGACCAGCGCTCAGGCAGAGACCACTTTTCAGCACACGCGATGGGATCACGCTCCGGAAAAGCCAAACTTCCGGATTCTGGACACAGGCACACTCAACAATCAGCTGTGTGCATACCAGTTTTTGGCACTGCCGCTGCACGAAAGACACCTGATCATCGTGTTCACAAGCGTGCCAGAAACCCGAAAGACACACCGGCAAGGCCACAAGTGCCGGGCGACATGATTTCGCATGCCACTATTTCGTGGTTGAGTCTATAACAACTAAAAGAATATACAATATATTCTAATGGTGCCCTTACCCCACGCAAAACAACATATATTCTTTAGCTTTATTCCTTTTTGCCTTCCACCAACACTGATTTTATAAAATCCCCCTTTATTTCATTATAATTATTTGCTTTGACCGTTCCCTTTTAAAATCTAATGTCTGCTGTTCATTTATCCTTTTGTCGCCATACTCCCAAGTTTCATGACAGCCCTCGTTTCTTTGAATATCCCAATTTCGTCCCCGATATTTAGCCGTTGTGTTGTGCAGCTCCCGTTTTGAGCTGTAAACAGAAATCCGAGCAGCGTAATTAATCCCTCGGGTTGGAATTTTAAGAAGGGTGAGAACGAAAGAGAAAAAGCAGTTGCTTATTTATTTTTAATAAAACCTTAATCTCTCTGCAGCAAACATTCTTAAGCAGGGCAAGGAATCTCATGCATGAAGTTCGATCCAGCTCTTGAGCCATTTATTTTTCATGTGCAATATAGGACAGATTGATTTTTGAGACACTGAAACTGGGAAGCAGGTAGCTGGGATCGATCGGGCGGAGTCTTCCCCGGGGCATGGATCTCATTGCTAAACATTTGCACATCTCACCCACCCCACCCCAGAGGCCTCTGTTAGAACCTAGGAGTTCCCTCTCAATGGTAATGGGAGATTATGGCGGTAATTGTTAACAGCCGCTTGCCAGGAACAACAAGATCAGGATTACAAGCCCTGCGAAGATGATTAAAACAAATTAGGGTGATACTTGTATTATTAACCGCAGGGAGCTGGGGCTTGCTCTGTTTGTTTATCCTTATTCGTGGTCTGCTTTTCGTTCTAAAAAAAAAAAAAATAATCCCCACGCAAGTTGGAAAACAGATGTTGAAATAAACCGTGGTTCTCCTTCCAGGTGTGCATTGATTCCAGATGTCGATGGAGATTCTCAGTCCTCCAGGTCCTGGTTGTCCCGAAGGGGGCTCTGTCTTCGAGAGGCAACTGGATTTTTTTTTCTTCGAAGACGTTTCGCTTCTCCTCCGAGAAGCTTCCTCGGTTCTGACTGGATGGTGGGGAATGGAAAGATTTATACTCCTTGCAGACAGCTGGTCCTTTGCGTCCTTTGAGAGAGTTGTTGAATGTTGAGGCCACTTGGAGACATTTGACTGTGTTCTCAGTTGTTGTTTTTCAAGAGACAACTGGACTTCCTTTTTTAATATGTATGTATGTATGTATGTATGTATGTATGAATGTGTAGGTAGGTAGGTAGGTAGGTAGGTAGGTAGGTAGATAGATAGATAGATACTGTAGATAGATAGATAGATGATAGATAGATAGATAGATAGATAGATAGATAGATAGATAGATAGAT